TCATCGTTTACTGTCTGTAAAAGGAAACTATAGCCCAACACTTCATTTCTCTCATTAACGGCCACTAAACTGATATCTCCCGGCGTTTTGGCGAAACCCGAAATCATTACACGTCTGTCTAAACCGCCGATTGCTTTGTCGTACTCAACCACAGCCGACACATTTGCATCAGTGATGGCCACCACAGAGATTCCCGCCATTTCATTGATAATGTCTATACAAGGATTGAATTGTCCTCTGAAATGATGTAAATATCTATCGGGGATACACTTGAAGTTGTGGTGATCTCTGTATATCTCAAACATTTTCACAGTGAAGGCAAAGAGGCCCACATTCCTGTCCCCCATGTGTGCCATTCCTGTGTTCCACAGCTTTTGTCCGATTCCGTGGCCCCTGTAGTCCGGTCTCACGCAATAGCCACCGATGAATGCCAGATCATCTGACAGATTAACGGCCGCCACATATCCCAACAGTTTCCCTGTTATACACAAACAGATTATTCAAAAATGTACACAATTTTATCAAAAACGTGTAGTCATTACCGGAATCGGTGTCCTCGACAACGAATATGCCGTTTGGATCCAAATTAATCATCACTTCATTGGCGTACTTAACGATCCCGAAGCCAACGGATCGCCATATGTCTCGCACTTCATCGCAATCAGACAATCGGATGTTTCGGATCACGTAATTGGGTTTCGCTGTCACAGACATTATCTCTTACTTTAGCAATAATTTTGTGTGAATTCTAGTTTTATTCCTCAATTTTCAATTAATGTTTGCAACTCTAATGTGACAAAAGTTTTGTGCAGTGAGAGTGAGTTTTCATGTCGTTTATATTGTGAATTACAATTTGTGATGAATATGGCACTAAATCACCAATTTGACAAATGCGATAATTATTCAGGGTCATATTTATTAGAATTCAATGTCTATTTACTTTTTGAATGCATGCGCTTAAACACTGAATCGATATTTTTTGTTCAATATTTCTCAACAGAGTTTCGGTAGTGTCTGAACGCCTGGTATTAAACCATTTATTATTAGCGCTATTTTTGTAAATATAAATTTTATTACAGAAAATATTACGCTATTTATTAATTCATACGATTAGATAAAAATATTAATAGTTAGCATCAATAGTTGTTTGGTACTGTTTATCAATGAATTGAGTTCACATGAGAATTTTTACATTAAAACATTTAAAGTGATCTCATTTATTTACGTCAAATATTATAAAACAATAAATTTCTAGACCCTCTAATTATTAGAGTAATAATATTAGAGTCTAATAATAAAAGAAATTCAATATCAAAATTACAAAATATAATAAATGTTTA